CTAACACTTTTGAATTTGCTTTGTAAATTCTTGACCCAACTTGAAACTAGATGATTGTATTCTCCAGGCTTTTGAAAGCTTTCTTCTGTCTCATGCATAATATGAGGTCTGCAGCTCCAGGTAGTTAGTTAGGTGGATCGCCTTGACACCAGGTAAATCCTCAAGATTATAAGAGAAGTAGAAGTATTTTTTTTACTGAGATAATACAGATCATATCCTAAATATACGCTTATGTTTTCGAGATATCTCGGCTGTTCCTTCCTATTTAGGGCATTAGCATACTTGTGATCAACTTTGCTTTGTTTTGAACTGGAGAAACGCCATCCGGGTCACGTGACTGAAACCCAGCAATACCGCTGTCTTGGCTCGCACGCACTCAACTCGAACTGTCAACCAGATATGACAAAATTGCGACTGTAACTCAGCCTTGAGTCCCTGACATCACCGCTGTACCACCGTGACAGAAAAAAGGGGATGTAAGCTGGCGGCTGGGCTACTACAATTTACAATCAGTCTAGAGTTAACTCACACATTGTGAATAATATCATAGTTGCTCCCTGTAACTAGCACGGCTCCCTGACTGTTCTGGCTGGGCTGGTAGTTTTGACGGGTCTGAATCGCTGCCAATAAAAAAGTCCGGTTCACCTCCAAGACAAAATATGCGTGCAGTTTTTGGGTTTTGCTTACTCTCTTTTTTCCATCATTTTCACTTTGCCGCTCCATGAAGCTCCACTCATATTAACTTCGTCCGTAAAATTGCTGTAGCTAGTTGCCATCTGTTGCCAAGAGACAGATGATGTTGGTGGATGCCTGGTGACAAGTTTTACCCAGAATACACTTGGAGACAACATTGGCGATCCTCTTGTAATTTTGAGTGTCATAAAGTTAAATGTAAGAATAAAAATAAAGCTAGTCATGTAGCACAACATTTTATTCAATATTTTACACCCACTATGTCACTAAAATCAGTTAGTCTTGTAAAGTTTTTAGCAACCATGAGTCAACAATGACAACCTACAATGACAGCCCACTGGGGCTATTTATTACATAATTTTCCATACACCGAACTCAACAGGAGAGAGCTTTTCGCCAGCTCTCATCAGATGTGATAAAGGTTTGATCCCCGAAGGTCAAATTCTCCCTTCCATCCGGGTCCCTCCTGGGCCGGGAGCCCGCTGCCACAAAGCCCCTTCCCTGCTCGCAGGATCCGCGCTGAGGTTAACTTAATAAAGCCAGCTGTGTGATTGGTCCGCTCTCCGGCTTTAAATGCATAAACTTATTTCTAACCTTTTAGAAATAAATCTGCTCCGCGAGTGAAACGCTCAGAACAGAGATGCTTGTAGTCTGGCTTAAAGATTTATCAAAAGAAAAAAAAAATTGAGATTTTTTTTTCCTTCAATTAGTAATTTTTCTAAAAATAAAAACAAGCAACGCTTAGCCTGGCGGGGGACCTAGCAAAGCATGGCTGGCCGCCAGGCTTACAACACACTGGGGGAAACCCTGTATTCCTTACATTATGTTTGGCTGATCTTTTGTTTAAATGCCATATTTGTCTGGGAACTTTTTGGTGATTTGTAATTGACTATCATTCACTGTAATTATTAACAAAGCAATAATGTTAGAAATTATAAAGATTTTTGACAGGTTTAACTGTTTTGTTTCTGTTTCTAAAATGTAGGCCTGGTTTTCTCCCAGATCCTAATGATGGCAGTTTGTACGTTCTTGGTGGAAAACATAAGGAGGGCTTGATGGTAAGATAGTTTATATTGTATCACATTTTCTTTTGTATTTTTTTATGTTTTGTCAAAACAAGCATGATGGTTTCCCGTTTCCATAGAAACTGCCTTTTACCATCCCAGAGCTGGTTCAATCCTCACCCTGCAGAAGCTCTGATGGCATGCTCTACACAGGTCTGATCTTATACATGTCTTATCAATTTCTGATCTTTCTTTGATTGTAAATTGTCCTAAAAGAAGACAAATACTTTTTCAAAAGTCTAGGGTCATTCCTCATTTCATTTTATATTTCTCCCATGGAGATTGAACTTGTTAGGTGATCTTGATCACCACAGTTCTTTAAACGTTCTTAAGTTTTTGTTAATACTTTTTGTCTGGACTTTGGCTGCTTTTTTGCTCACTTTCTGCTAGGGCGACAAGTAACGATTATGTTATTAATCGATTATTCTATTGATTATTCTGATGATTAATTGGATAAATAAAATTGGTATATTCAACAGATTTTTCATTCAACCTATTTAGCCATTTTCCTGCAATATTAGAATATATAATACTTTTTTAAAATAACAAAATAAACATGTTATTGCGTAAATGTAATAACAATATTCCTTTATTGAATTTGAACCAGGTAGAGCTAAAACTGTCTCTTAATGAGAGAGTGACACAGAGAGAGTGTGTGTGATACAGTTAGAGAAAAGTCTGGCTCTTAGGAAGCAAACTATACAGTTTTACTTTTACAGTATAGTGCTTTATAACTCACCTGTCTGCTGTTTGTAGATAACCTTCCTTCTTGGTGTGTGTGTGTGTGTGTGTGTGTGTGTGTGTGTGTGTGTGTGTGTGTGTGTGTGTGTACACAGGAAAAAAACATGACGTGTGGTTTGTAGTGGATCCTGAAACGGGCGAAAAGCAAACAAGTTTAACCACCTCCTCCTCTGAGTCCATCTGTCCCAACACTCCTTTGCTCTACATTGGACGCACCGGTCTGTCGCACACACACAGCACTTCAGAAGCCAGGCTCATGTGAACCTGATTCAATTAGTCTGAAATTAATGAGTGTTTCCCTTTGTTTCCAGAGTATATGGTTACCATGTTTGATACTAAGATACAAGGGCTTCGATGGAACGCTACGTACAACGATTACTCTGCTCATCCTTATGATGAGAAGCAAAACTACAGTACGTCTCTGAGCACAGATTCACAAAGTTAAACAAATAGTTTGTTCAACAACCTCAAAGACTTAAGCACTGTCTTATCTGCAAAAAGTATTTATATCTGTTGAACTTTTTTAAACTTTATCATTTCATTATCATGAAACTTAGTGTATTTTCTTGGGATTTTATGTTTTAGACCATCACAAAGGATATATTTAAACAATACGTTTCTTGGTGCTTTTGCATAAAGGCCTGGTCTGTGGAATTCCTGACTTTGTTCACTTCACAAGATATTTGGTTGCAGTTGTTTTTTTTAAGGCACTTTCTGCTAGGGTGCCCTTCACCTCTCGCTTGCCATGGAGACGCTGCGCTTTCTCACCTTCTCCTCTGCTAATGAAGAGAGCAGTACACAATGTTATACTGCCAGTCCTAGAACTAACTTTAAGTAATCTTCCTCCAGAAATGGCTCATCTGGTGTCTAGTGGTGATGGTCTTGTGGTGACCGTTGACCGGGAATCAGGTAGGAGGATCTGTGTGGATTATACATTTCCTTACTCTTATCTCAGCCGTCTAGCAGGGATTTGAAGTGTTTATCTTGCTTTTCAGGCGATGTCCTGTGGACTCAAAACTACGGTTCACCTGTTGTAGGGGTATACCTCTACTATGAAGAGTCACTGAGACATGCCCCTCACCTCTCGCTTGCCATGGAGACGCTGCGCTTTCTCACCTTCTCCTCTGCTAAAGACCAGACAGAAGCTCACTCTACGTTAAAATGGAGCTACCAGTTTGTGACGGAGCAAGCCAGAACACAAACCCAATTAATGTAAGAACATTTCCATTGCTCCCATTAAAATGAAGATTGTGTCTGGTAGGAACAAGTCTCCATGAAGGATTCTTGCAGATCCAAATAGTTGGATCTGCAAGAAAACTTCGTTATAGGGCCGAACGTTAATGGCATAAAACTCAACTTCATGTTTGTTATGAAATCTATAAAGAAAGACTGCAAAGCTATCACTCTACACTAAAACATGCAAGGGAAAAATTCTTTGTGGAAATCATAAACAACAACATTAACGATGCTCAAGCTTCATTTGCAACAGCTGACAGGCTCACAAACCCTCCTGTGATTGTACCACCTGAACTCCAATCAAACACGGCCTGCAATACATTTTCTAACTTCTTTGAAGAGAAAATTAACAAAATTACAGGATTAATCTGCACATAAATCTAAATCTAGTACCAATGCTATGTACAAACATAACAAAACATAAATAATGACTCAGTTTCAACTACTTAACTATAAAAAGTTAGGATAAATTATAAATAAATTAAACTTCACTTAATGATGTCTTGATAAAATACCCACAACTTAAGAAAGTTGTCTGTTATTCCATCTGATGTGACTCAAAAATTTAGAAAAGTGCTGTGCACAAAAAAAAAAAAAATCGGATGCTTAAAGCCGTGCGCACATATGT